AGTATGAGCAACAAACTGAAAATCCTAACTAATCTGATCATCTGTAATGTGTGTGAGGTCAGCAACCACAAGCCCTGGTAAAGTGTCGCTAGGCAACATGAAGACAGCTTCCTAGCCAATATGGAAGCCAGGAGACAGGTAATGACCCGCCTCCTGACTTCCTAATTGGCCGGGAAGCCGGCTTCATGCTCCCTTGTAGCACTGCCGGTCGGAGCATTTGGGCAAGTACTCGCTCAAATGCGCAGTATCTGCACCGACACCAGTATCGGTGCATCCCTAATTTGATGTGTAACATATACCATCCAAACATAGCTATGCTTGCAACACATGATTCATTAAAGGGTATCTAAGGTCAAAAACTAAAACTAAATATGTATTTCTATATTGAAATTCCATAAATTTCATCCCAGTTATAACCATCTAGAAGTTTGTAAATTGCCCATAGTACGGACTTCCGAAAGCACACTGGGAATCCAGGAAGTGATGGGCAGACAGAAGGAAGCACTCACTTGACTACATAAAAGGGATTTTTTCAAAGCTTCGATTGCATGACTGATGGATTTGTCAGTTCCTTCCCATGCGGCTCCTCCCGGACACCTGACTCCCACGGCCAATCAGGTAAGAGCAGCTATTACCTCTACTGAGCCGACCTGTGACAGTCTCATTGTCACAGGTCGGCTTAGAACTATGAGGTGAGTGGAAATCACTCATCTCATAGTTCTCCTTTAACTATTTCTCCCGGGACTATTCCTTCCCCCAGTCATGTAGCCCCTCCGCTCAGTCTCTCCGGGTCTGTCTTTATCAAAAACAACTCCTATTACAGTGCTGATGTTATAACAGGATAGTATATGCTAGGACTTTACAACTCCTTTAAAGAGGAACTTTACCCTTATCTTCAAAATAACAACAAAGACACCTTTAGAAATGTTTAGTAATGACAATCTACAAACACATACTTCTAGATAATTGCCAGCTTTTTATTCTTCGCATACCTTATTTTTATTTTCCTCCCCATGCTTCTCACAGTGGCCATTTTAACTAAGGGCAGATTGTTTAATCTCCCTTTACTTCCTGGAACTCTGGCACATGTGACAAGGACATATGACCATGCACATCATCTCAGGGGAGGAAAATGCCTTTCCCTGAGATCTCATAAGATTACAGATGAGATTTCTGCAATACTCTGCTGATGTAACCTTCCCAGGATGGCACATCATTTGTTCCAAAGAGAACTAGGAGGCAGAAAACCAGAAATTGTATGTAAAATGAAAATATGTTTGTTTAGCTAATGAATGTAAGATGATTTTATATCAACATGCAGAGCTGTATATGCTGATGTGATTTCTAGAGGTAAAAGGTGAACTTTAAGATTGATACCGCCATGTTATGACCAATATATAACAATGACAGATCTGCAAACCTAGTAAAACAGATGCATCCAGTTTCCTGTGAATCCAGAACAGCCATAACAATACGTGATCTCTGGCACAGACGTGATTAAATGACACTTAAGCGGTTGTAAAGATACTTTCCTTGTGGCGAGAACTTCCTGAAAAAAAGACACCTTTGGATTACACTGCTGCCTAAACCAAGCTCACCTCTATTTACATAGAAATTAAGAGCTGCCGGGTACAGGCAATCTGCTGAAATGCCAGATACGTTCTACGCCGCTGTATAGGAAAACCAATATAGATTTGTAATATGGAGATTTTATAGTATCGGGAGATAGCAGATCAACAGAAAACAGATGGGCCGGTAAACCCCAATGACGACTCGTTGTACATAAAAGATCAGTAAATATATAGAAACACTCCAGGACCTGAATATAACTGAGATGAAGTTTTAGTCCCAGGGGGGAGACAGTTATAACATGCAGTTGGCACATCATCCAGTAAACCCGGTGAAGGACACTGCACACTGGCAAGCCTTCTTTAGCCCTAAAATTATTGCTAATGTGACCCACAACTCTTATGATCAAAGTAAAAACATGCAATGCCAAATATCCCAGGCTCATACAACGCCAAATGTCTCGAGCTTTGTAAAGTTTTTTTAGGCCTCAGACAAAAGTTTGGCACTCTGCACTTGATACCTATGCCCACATATAAACCCCTAATAGCAGGTTTTAAAGTACAGTTGGCTACAAGAGCTGGTGCACAGGAGCTACCATAAAGTTCCGGATTTTATTATTATTATTATAATACAGGATTTACTTAGCGCCAGCAGTTTGTGCCACGCTTTGCAATATAAGGAAGACATTACATTTGCAATACAAATCAAGACAAGATGGTAAGGAGGGCCAAGGCCGTCAGAGCTCACAATATGCCAGCTGATTTTGTGATGCCAGACCACCCTAAAATACTCTGGCTTCTGGGGAAAGTAGTCAAACCCCCCTTTCCACCTCACAGTTCATCAGCCCCAAGCACAGGCATGTAAGGGGAAAGCTGAGGCATTGCTAATTCAATGCACATTTTTAGAAAGTTGGTATTTGGGGGGGGTGCTCTAGCGGTGCTGTTAGCAGAGCTGTGTTTAGACATCATGCTGCTTTTTATAAAGCCCTGCTAATTGTGTCATGTGTATTTTAGTAACAATAATGTCCCGTTCATACCAGGGCGTAGTGTGGATGCGCCTCGTGGGAATGCACGTTTCTGCACGTTTGCGGGACTTTGTTTCCCACATGTGGCGCACATCCCCATTGATCCCCGTTGGGTCCCTGGACGCGCGCCAACCGCAGCAAAGAAGTAAGGCCCCTTTCACGCCAGGGCATAGCAGGGACACGAGTCATGGGAACGTGCGTTACTGCACATTTGCAGGATTTTCTTTCCCGCGTTTGGCTCACTTCCCCATTGGGTCATTGGATGCGCGCTAACCATGGAAAATAAATACTTTTTGCAAATTTGGCAACATGAGTTCTGCTTTTTTTCCCCCCATGCGTTCGTGGACATTTTCACGCTTGCTCAGCTGCATTTGTAGTGCCAGTGCCATTTTATGTTTGTGCATGTATCATGAATGCCACATACTTTTGTGCACGTTTGACGAGTGTTCACGATACGTCCTGGTGTGAACGGGGCCTAACTCTAGAATGCACTAGTGGAGGCAGCATGGGCAAGTAGAACTACTCTGCCATAGTACAGTGTTTCATGTTTTCTGAACTTATAAAGAGCATTCCAACTACTCTAAACCCTCCTGCACCCTCTTCCTCTTACAGTTCTCTTGATGAATTTAGGCACACATGTAAAGAGATAGACAGAAAAGAAACAATATATGGTATCACAGTTTGTAAGTGTTGAGGGTTGGTGCTGCCCTTTCTAACCATGCTGCCCTAGGCACTGGCCCACAAGTTCCTTTATGTTGCACACAGCCTTGTCTTTCAGCAGCCATACTGTGACAGGCAAGGTATGTTCTGGAGCTTTACAATACTGACTATGCCCCATGTATCTTAAAAGGAGAACTATGAGGTGATTGCTTTTCACTCACCTCATATTTCTAGCCGACCTGTGACAATGAGACTGTCACACGTCGGCTCAGTAGATCAGGAAGTGAGCGAACACATACCGGCGTTCGCTCACTTCTCGATCCTGTCACGGCTCTCTGCCGTGACAGGGGAGGGACTGAATTCCCCGCTCCGATCCTCCAGCGCTGACTGGCGGAACGGACGGGGGAGGGGGCGGGTACAGCTGGCTCTGCCTCTAGATAGGCAGAGCCAGCTGTCACTCACGCAACTGGGCGGATCCAGACATAATTGTCGGGATCCGCTTCAGCTGCGGCATCTCAGTATACCGCGAGCTGTAGCTTGCAGTATACTGAGCTTAGGGTGACGGGAGAACGCTAGTTTGTGTCCTCCCGTTACCCTAAGGAGAACTATGAGGAAAGCCCTAACCCCATAGTTCTCCTTTAATAAGTTAAAGGATCACTTTTACTAACCTGTCCTCCCATGTTTTTATATTGTATAAATATATAGATTAATGGATAAGCCATCAGACGGCGCTGTCATGGCTTAGTGCAATCACTGTGCCTCGCTTTTATTTGTCTTTTATAGATGTATTTTAGATAGTAGTTAAAGCCCAGTGTCACAATATGCACAATTACATAAAGAAGCTTTGTTTTGAGCAAAGTCTAATGGGTATTCATGAATGGAATAAACTCTTTTATATAAAAGGAACATAAACATTTATGCATTTACCGTTCATTTAACCTTCTCACCACCTACAGTCCAGCATCAGGAGTGGACCATGGCTGCCCTCAACACAAACCCCTATGACTTATATTAAAACTATTAACATTGTATTCCCAGGTCTATATGCCGGCCCTTTCAGCCAGTACAACTTTCGATTTTGTCAAAAAGAAGACAGTCAACTTGGAAATGAACTGATCCTTAAAATGAAAGTGTTAAAGAAAGTTGTCAGAGAGTCACTGCTATAAAAAAGAAGCCACCTTCCGTTCCAATCTATTTAAAAGCTAGAATGCACAACAGCGGATGTTCCAAAGAATGTTGCAAGTATCATATGATGTTGCTACATAGAAAATAGAACATCATACTTTTTAGATAAAAGGGTGGCGAGTCATGAACCCATCTCCAACCCTAAAGGGTGCAAGCCTAAAAGGGCCATTGCCCGCCGAAGTCAAGAGGTCTGGTAGGGCAGCAGTGTAAGGGTAAATATGTATGTGTTAGTGTTTAATGTTATAAAACATCACATATATAATAAAGTCCGGTGCCGGGCAGGGATTGGATAGCCGCTAAACCTTTAAAAAGTTTTCCTGTTCCTAACTTTTGTCTTTTTAATGTCAAAAACAGCTATAGGGTTGATGGGCTACTTATGACCTCCAAGACTTTACTCACTTGCTTTTTCGTTGTATATGATTGATATATATATATATATATAAAAGCACATTGGTTTTTTTTATACCCTTGAGGGTCAAATGCACCGGTAGAAGGCACGTGCCTGCACCGTGCAGCGGCTGACCCCTCCGATGCCCCTTGTCCTATCACCCCATTTACCTACCTGGTCTACAGGCAATTGCACTGCATGGCTGAGGGGAAGCAGCAGTGTGGAGCCCGTGGTACTTGTAGCCATGGCAATCCCTCTAAATGAAGGATGAGGAAGATGATGCTTAAGATTCTCTCCAAGCGATCCACAGACAGGTTGCCGCTAAGGACCCTCGCTCCGGGTCCCTGCTACAGCGGAAAAATACAACAAATCCACAGATGTGCAAGCAGCCAGCACGGTTCCCCCAACAGTAAAGCGGTGAGATGCGCCCCCCACCTCCACCACAACGTGAATCCAAAGCCTCAAAGAAAATAAAAATTAACAAAAAAAAAAAATCTGCTAAGTGCGGACACTTGATCTCACATCATTGATGGGAAGGGAGGGCTGCAAGCACTGCAATGCAAAGATCCAGCAACAGCAGCGGCAGTTTATCCATGCAGAGACATGACAAAGCCACAGCCTGTGCTTCCACCTCCTCACACTGCTCAGTGTACTGAATGCAGAATTAAAGGGAGGAGGGAGGGAGGGAGGAAAAAGCAGCACTGGGCTGGGAAACAGCAAACCTTCATGTATGGAAGCCCAGACAGCACATTCTGTGTCATTTTGCAAATCTAAGAGCCCAGCCTTCCTACTGTACCTCTCCGGCGGGGAGTGGAGGCTGCAGGGTGGGGGGAAAAGCCACAGCTCATCATAATGGGTAGAGCAGAGGTGTTATTAGGAGATCAGAGCGGGTTTAATGCACACATGTATTATACCTAAAAGATGGATAAAAATAGCTTCAAAAACATCTGAATTCATACTGTACCTACTCTCCGCCATCGCTGTCATTAAAAGTCTTTTCTGGTCTTTTTAAAATACTGCAGCTTTCCTTAAACTAATACTTGGAGATCTGGCCATGAAGGTCCTTGTTCAGGTACTTCTACTTGTTTGGTGACAATGATCTGTCCCTGTTTTTTAACGCCTTGCCAATGAGCATGAGCACATCCCAGATAGCAAGGATAACTTGCCACAAACTTGTGTCGGGGTTAAATTGTAATTCTTGTTAACTTGCTGCACACATTCCTGGCAAGTGGAAGACTTGCAGAACACTTGCAGCACAAGTTCTAGTTGACACTTTTTGAACTTGTAGCAAATTTGCTTGGCAAGTCTACAGCAAGAGTCCTGCAGGTCTTAGCAAGAGCTCTGCAAGCTTGCTGGTCTGGAGACTTGCAATGCAGACTTGCTGTAATTGTGCAACAAAATTAAGAAGCTTGGCAAGTCTGTAATAGTTTAGCAAGTCATTTTCAAACTTGCAGCAGAATTTCTTGCTATCTGGGATGTGCAGGCCCACAGAGGTCAGCCTTCATCCTTGGGGCATATATATGCACACTGGCCTTTGTGCTGGAAACGCACTCCATAGCACGCCCCTTACCATCGAGCATACGCACATATGCAGCCCCACAAAAATGGGCCTTCTGTCAGGAAGCCAGAACCATGGTCTGCGCATGCACATATGCCTGGTTTTGATCATGCGTCATTGCGCAGACATGTTTGTGTGTGTACATTGCCATGTGCGCACAGATGTGTGTCTGTGTGTAATTTGAACTCTGGCGCCTCTGGGGCTATATAGTCAGTATGCTGTGACGTACAAACCTGGTGCTGTGTGATGGCCAGTGTGGTATTGTGTGGCAATCCCATGGTAGAACTGGGGGTTGTAGTCACCCAGGACTCTCAGCCAGAGGGGCTGAGCAGTTCCAGGAAGCAAGTTCTTGTACTGGGAAAGTGCTGACTTTGCGGTTCTTCCCAGGATTTCTGGATTTGGCATTGGATCCTGGAACTGGGAGATTTCTAAGAGAATTGGGTGGGATGAAATCTAGATTCCTGGGTCCATCATTTAGTAGTGGTCAGCACCTAATTGAACACCTGTGCACAGCCCTTATGGAAAGGCTGCTGGCTAATGTTGTGGGCCCCAGCTGAGAAGATGAACAGAGGTGTTAAGGGGTCAGGAGGACTCCACCCAGACGTCAGAGGGGAGCCAGGTGGCTATGTGTGCTGGAGGCCCCTGGGAGACAGCCGAGGAGACTTAGAGAGCCAGTGGCACATGAGGGATGTGTTTAAGAGTCCCATGAGAGGTGGACTCTGGCTCTGTTAAGAAAAACCCTAATGCCCAGCGACTAGGACACAAGGAGTATGGGCAACAACCTGGAGTCGGTGAGATTATGTCATACATTCTGTTTTGCTGAAATACAAGCAGACCCTGTGTTTGTCAGGGCCCAACTAGTGTTAAGATTTTAGGATCTCAGCTGCGGAACAAATTCCACTTGAGGATATGAAGGGGTGATTCAGTGGACGGTTCCCCAATACACCCCCAGTGCGTTAGGGAACCGGAACACATCATATACCCCGGCCTAAGGTGTATCTAAGTGTACGGGTGCCTAGAGGGACAGCCGTACAGCAGGAGCGGGCAGTAGTAGGCAGTATTGGATATGATTAGGAAGATGATGGTATTTGTAGTTCCCAAGCAGATATACACTAAGCCCTCGTTCACACCTGAACGTTTTGTAGCGCGTTCTACGCTCGACGAACGCTCTACAAAACGCTCAAAAATATAAATCCCATTGTATTCAATGGTCTCGTTCCCACCTTGGCGTATTTCCGCCCGTCCCTAACGCGCTACAAAACGGCCCACGCCTGAAAAGGTACAGGTACTACTTTGGGCCGTTTTGTTGCGCGTTTCCATTGGGATACAGCCAAGTAGCCTTCGGAAACGCGCGACAGACGCGCATATGCAAGACGCCTAGGTGTGAACGAGACCTAAGGCAGTGGCACACAATAAGGATCTCCACTCAGAATTGGTGAAGTAGCTGCTAAGGTATGGGGAAGAGGCCCCTAAGTATTTGTGGCTCTGATATACTTTTATACCAGCTACAGTCTATAGCCCTATAGTGACAGCATATATATGTAAAGTCCTTCCACAATAGTGACAGTAGCTACTATTATTATTAACAGGTAAGGTTTCCACAATAAATAGGTTCTTATTCAATCAGCGGATGTTGCGACTAAGGCATGTGGAGGTATCCCCTGGTTTCTTGCGGTTCTGGTGTGGATAACTAGCGATGGCTATTCCGGTAGATTTGAGAGTTTTGAGCCCACTGCAGCCGAAGCTGTGCCGCCGTGTCCCTGGGCGTCAGTCTGCGGGCAGAGGCTCCTGTATGACAGGATGCTATGGCCGATGCAGTGCACAGGGTCCTCGCTCGACGTTCCACAACGATAGAACGCAGAGTGAGTGACTCACCTGTGAATTTGAGGAGGAGTTGTGGTCGGTGGGAGGAGCCCGGCATGACGTCACAGAGGGGGTGGCGCCCCGCTGGAACGGAGGGACGCGCTGGGTGAGTCTGTGACAGTGTTATTAATGAAGAAAGCTGTATTTGTTTTATGAAAGAAATAAAAGACTGTTCTTTTCTATGTTAAAGTGGCTTCAAGACTGGTCTTTGAGCGCTCACCATTTGTGCTAACTTCCCCAAACATCACACCAGCTATATCCATGTTCCTGAGATCCTGTGTTCTGATTGATTACCAGTTACCGTCCTGGCTTGTCTTGACCTTCTGCTGCTCTCCTGTGTTCCTATGACCCCGGCTTGTTCTTTGACCACCGCTCCAGGCTGACGCCTTGTACCATACTGCCCGCACGTTACCGACTTTGGCCTGTTCCTGACTTCATTCCTTTGTGTCGCCTGGTACCACGCTGCCCGCCTGTTAACAGCTTGCTATGACCACGGTCTTCCTGGAACCAGCTTTCAAGTGTAATTCAGCATTGCAGAGACTGCTTACCCAGTTGTTGTGTCATCGTCCGGCACTATTGTATGTCCTCAGCCAACCCGAAGGCATATGCTTATAGGTGAACGGCAGCGAGTGAGCTGCCGGAGCTCCGCCTCAGCCAGATGTTGGATCGGCTGAGTCGAAGTCCTTCTGCACTTCGGCTCAGCCATACAAGCCAGAAGTGAATAGCCGAACAGCATTCGGCTCACTTCACTTGGGCTGGATTATTCACTCGGCTGTCTTCGGCAGCTTTGTGAAGAACCCCCTTAGAAAAGCATTACATGAGTCCAGGTGCATTTAAAAATGAGCTCCAGAAGCAAAGATTCCCCAGCACACTTACCAGCCAGCCTGCAAAAAACAAGTTACAGCGTCTAACTATTAGGGTTATAAACAGAGGTTTTGGTTGCACAACTTTTGTTAAATATGTGGAAGCCGCACTGCCTTGTCAAGGCCCCTCTCTGTAGTGTGGTCCTAACTCTAATATATGAGAGCCTCCATCTTGAAGCATATATAGCAAAGGATGAACTGGGTGCAGGTATGCCTGGAGGTAGCCCATTCCTCCTTAAAGGCACAGGGACACACCAGAAGCCCAGCACATAACAATGACATCTGTTGAGTGCATTTGCCATTTCTGTCACTTGTTTCTTTCACTTGCAACTGAACTCATCGTTTTTCAACGTAGTGTGCATGAGGCCTAAACGTTGTTCTTAAACTGGGCATAAAATGGTAGATATTTGTACAAGCATTCCTGCGTCAGAATGTTCATGCTCCCTCGTCATCTCATGACAAGAGAGCATGGAGCCGGCCTCCCGGCCAATCAGTAAGCAGGGCGTCGCGTCATTACACGGCGCCCGGCTTCCTGTTTGCCTGGCTAGACGGCTCCGGCTGGGTACCGGACGAAGGCTGCGTTCTCGCTGGAGAGGCCCCGGGTGATGACAGGCTGCGCATACTAAGGTAAGAGGGGACTTTCTTGTTAATCGGGAAGCCGGGTGGCGACTCTTTACACGCTGCCCGGCTTCCCGGCTAATCAGGAAGCCAGGTGGCGAGTCATTACACGCCACCGGGCTTCCTGAATGGGACTTCCGTTACTCGGTAATTGGTATCGGCGAGTACCGAAAAAATATTATCGGTACTCGTACTCGGTACCAAAATACCGGTATCGATGCATCCCTAGTTAAAATCAATTGTGGATTTGACCCCCATTAACCATTAGAAAATTAAAAATACATCTCTAAAATAATTTTTTTTAAACAAAATTCACACAGGTGTCTTTCCAGCTTTACTCTTCCTATACCCAGAAAGAGAACCCTTCCAGTGACCAGTCATTCATGTAAGAGCTGTGGAACCGGTCACTAAAGGCCGACTGAAGGCGTACACAAATGAGGTGGCATCTAAATTCCTTTTTTGGATAGAGTAGTGAGGTGTTGAAGCCAGTCTCAAGTGTTTATTATTGTGTGTACCCCCATTGGACAGATTCGCCCTTAGAAACTGTTTGGCTGACCGTTGTCACAGGCACTAAACATGACCGAAAAATCTGAAATTAGGAGGTGAAGAGAAACCTTGGGGGACACTTGTTTCAGTGACAACTGTCTAAGGGCTTGTTCACACCAGCAGCCGTGCTCAACCACATGACTGCTGGTGTGCGTGTGCCCAGACAATGCCGATGCGCTAAATCGAGCCTCATCGCACCGTTTCTTTTTTTTAGAACTTTATTGAATTGTCACCAGGGACATTTT